CTGGCTGTACTCAGATCATTTGGATTAATATTCAGAAAAGGRTGCAGCCTTTATGAATTTGTTTAAATCCATTTTCAACTTCATTCTTTTAAACTTGGCGATGTTCTGCAACAGTCCTTTCCTGTTATTTAGGTGAGCATGATATGCAGAACTATTTGTATTTCTTTTAAACATATTTACTAACTGGCCACAGTCAACAGTTGTGACTGTAGAAATGCCATCACAGAAGGGTCTCAGCCATCTGTGAGGCTTTGGAAAGAAAAACAGATCTTATCTATTGGTCTTAAACAAACACATTAAGACTCCAGGATTTTCCAATCCATCTGGACTAAAAGAATAGTCAACGAAAATGTACGTTTGAATCTGACCATGGGGGCATAGGGAAACGTTTCAGAAATTTTTAAGTACAAACTAAAGTTCTACCTTCAGCGTAATAGACAATTGTGTCCTCAAGTTCAAGAGAATCTACCCTACCCGAGAATCTACCATATCCACCGTGACAATAAAATTACTGATTTTGGTTCCAGCTTCCTTTAGACCCGATTCAGGATTTCATTAACATTTGTAGATGTAGCAGTCTCACTTCCTCCAAAGGTGACGATGTGTCTCAGCTGCAGCGTGGTGCCTGCAGAACAGAGTGCCACCTGTCCTCAGCAGTGTAAACTCACTGCAGTGGTGCTGGGGCAGCCAACAGGGACCAGGCAGGAGATGATGTCTGAGCACACAGCTTCTTCTTCAGCAGCTTCCTACGCTGAGTCAGTCAGCAGGATGGCAATAATTTCCACGTTCCCTCACAGTTCAGGTCACCACAAACCCCAAGCATGGTGTATTGTCAATCACAGCAGTCACCACATCTTCCCAGCCCTCAAGGACACCTGTTTTTTTTCACAGCACTGGCACCTTCTCATATTCCTTAAATAACATGTACCACGTGTACCAGTAAAACAAGTCCTGTGTCTCTCACACAGTCTCAAAACCCAAACCCAAAGTTAGTTTAGCTTTTGTAACATTGCCCTAGGGTAATATGAATCACTCATTCATCTCCCCACTCCAACAAGCAATTCTTTCATGCTTCCTTACACTCCCAGCCCAGCCTCACCTCAGCACTGCTCTTGCATTCTCTGCAGTCCAAGAAGTGTCCACAAGGCAGTGGAGACAAAGTGCTGTTTTGTATTTATTTGGCGTGTTATCAGTGCATCCCAAAATGTGCTCTTATCTGACACATCACAAACACACTTTGTGCAAAAATGACATACCTAATTTCTTTTGACATACCTTTTGCCTTGGATTACTTCAGTGATAGTATGTCCACAGCAATTTTTTCTGTGCTTACTGTTGGGGAAGGCAAAAATACTAGGTCAGCAACAGACCTGCTTAGGTGTCCACATAAGAGCATAGGGTGCTCCTTGCAAAAAAAATTCAGATAGATTTTGGATTACTAATTTGGGTGCTGGAAGCGTTTTACCCTTATTAGCAAAATGCTTGGGCTGAATCTATTAGCCCTAATTACRGGAGCAGTTATATTAGACTAGGGAGAGTTGTATCTTTATGCAGTTATATTACTTTGCAGTTTGTCTCCAGGATCTCTTCATAAACCTTAATGTGTCTTTTAATGAGAAAATGCAAGTTTGAAAAGTGACCARCAATTTTTCCAAGGTAAAGATAAGATCAGAGATTGATAAATGACTAATGAAACTGCCTATAACCTTTTTTTTTTTTAGCTAAGTGGCTTAGAAGGTGAGAACAATCTATAAAAGCTTGGAAATCCTTTAAATGTATCTCCACTCAGTTTTTTCCAAAGCAGCATTAGGAAAAAAATATTTAAGATAAAGAAACAAACTTTTTTTTTATTTTACAAATTCRTTGAAGATCTTTCAATATGTTTAAAGACCCCACTAGCTACCTAGGATAGAGCAGAGCAGAGCTGGTGAAAACAGGCATCTCTTGAATGCACTTCCAGCTTACTGCTTACAGCAGCAGCTTACTATTCCTTGWAATGTTACTGAGGAATAAGAGTTATTTTTGTCCTCCTAACAGTGAGTGGGAAATTACAATAGAGAAGTTTTGTGATTTTTCCAAGCCCTGGGGAACGTAGTGGGGGCATCCAACTCAAAAATCTTAAGGTGGTGGTTCCCAATCCTGTGTCCTGCCGTCCCTTGCCCCAGGCATTAAAAGCCAGTACAATTAGAGCTCCCGAGTGAGTGGTTCGCCAGCAGAGCCCTGAGAGGAGGCGGCTGTCACAAACAGTGGGAAGCAGGAGAGCTGCCTCAGGACATGAAAAGCCACTGTTCCAGGGAAACGTGCAGGTCGCAGCTGCGTTTGGAAGGTCTCCTCCCTGCCATGTGCAGTCTCTGTCTCCTGTGTGTCACTTCCCAGCAGGGGAAGAGCTGGAGGGACCGGACTGAGAGGAGCAGCACTTCTTCAGCCAGGAGAGCAGTCTGGTGTCCATAATTCCCTGTGGATTCAGCGTCCCCTGGAATGTCGCYGGACATGCAGTGAAGCATGCTGCGACACAGAGGCCTGACCCAGGGCATCTGTAGGAAAAGGAGCAGGAGGCACTYACCTGCAGGAGAGCAAAGCACACACCACCCCAGAAAAGGGAGAGCTTCTGTAGCATCACCGAAGTTATCATGGATCTTCTGAAGCATCTTCAGGGGGCTGAGGGTGCTGTGTGTCCATGCACACCGCTGTGGGAGTGTCTCCACACCCACTCGTGGGGTCTTTGGCCACACAACGCACCTTGGTTGGATGTGGTAGGGTGATCACAACACCCCAGGGAGGAAATGTGAGCAGGCTTTTGGAGACCTGGCCACAGTCAGGATTTATTTGGCCCACTCCATGTCAGCACTCAGTTTCCTGGGCTCTTAAAGGGCTGATCTTTAACACCAGAGGTTCCTTGTAAGTAGGGCTCATGTGCAGCTGGCGTTGGAAGTTATTAAGTGTCTCCCCACCAAAGGTTTGAGGAACAAATCGAAGGTGATGTGTAGAGCTGGAGTGCTTGGGGCTCTTACATGGCTGGGGGAAGCAAGAGAGGAGTCTACATCCCCTGCACACGCTAATCCTACAAAGCACTGACAGCAGTYCATCTCCAGGAGCCAGGCTGCAGATGTGTGGGACCTGAGTGAGAGGCGGTCAAGAGGCAGCTGGYAGGGGATAGACATTAGATGGATTATCCCGGCATAAAGCGCACCTGTCTCGGAATATCTGTGCTCTGCACCGTCGGCCCCTGCTCAGGGCGGGGTCAGGTGCGCAGGGATTGCCACRATCAGGCCTCTCCCGAGAAACTCGGCCTCACCCCGGGCTCAGCAAGAGGGGGGAGATTTCTTCCCAGCCGCCTCCAGCGTGGGCAGGGACGCTGCCATCGCTGACCATGTAGCTGGACATTATTCCGTGTGCCAGCATGAAAACTCTATCCCACCAAGAGCAGCAGCGCAGGGAGGTCAGCACTCCCACCCGCCCAGCTCGGGGTGCCGCCGCTCACGATTATCCCTCCCGAAATGGCTGGCAGGGCTGTGTGCGGAGGTCGGGGGYTCCAGCCGGCGGCTGAGGGGGCGGTGAGCAGCTTCAACACTCAGCTCCGCTCTCCTCGCACCAAATTGCTGTGACAAGGGTCTCCCCGACTTTCCTGTTGTCAGTCCCCGCAGGGACCCTCCCCGAGCGCCACAGCGAGGAGCCGCTGGTGCCATGGGCGGGCGGGGTAGCGGCACCCGCGCCCCCGGTCCCTTCCCGGTAGAGTGAGGGCGAGAGACGCCCCTCGGGAGAGGGTCCGCGGGGGCTCGGAGCCACTGCGGCCGTGGGTGGGCGTCCCCCGTCCCCACCCGAGAGGTTGTGCCGCTCGGAGTCGGCTTGAAGCAGGATCGCGGCGGGGAGGAAACCSGAGTTTGCGGCGCCGCTGCCGCCGGTGCGCGGGGGCAAGAGCGAGCGGAGGCACCTCCGGCACACCGGCCCCGGCGGGCCGCCCCTCCGCAGCCCCCGGCCGCCCACTCACCCGCCGTCCCGCCGCAGCCCCAGCCCCGAGCGCTGCCGGCGGGGTCGGGTCGGGGGTAGGTGGGAGCGGCGGGGGCGGGCGGCAGCCGCGGGGGTCGTCGCCATGACGAGCGGGCGTGCCGCCGCCTCCCGCCGCTGAGCGGGGCGGCCGCTGTCCCTTCAGCACCGCGCGGCCGGCGGGGCCGCCCTGCCCTGCCCTGCCCTGCCCTGCCCTGCCCCGTCCTGTCCGGCCCGGCACCGGCACCGGCACCGGCGCATCCCCGGCACCGGCATCCCCCGGCACCGGCACCCCTCCGGTACCCCACCGGCAGCCGCAGCCCCCCGGCACCAGCACCCCACCGGCACCGGCATCCCCCTGCACCGGCAGCCCCGGCAGCCCCGGGCAGCGAGGCGAGCCCTGGCGGCCCCCGCGGGCGGCGGCGATGGCGGGCGGGGGC